TCACTTGTACACACCAGGGTCCTAGCATGGTACACAGCCTATAGTTGGACAGTGATAAAATCTGAGAAATGAATGAAATATAGTAATGTGAACCTGGGGACTGGGTGTATATATTCAATATTCAAACTTGCTGAACTGGCACTAAGAAAACTTCCTACAATAGAATGCAAATACTGGGAAGTTTTTCAAATGTGTTTTTAATCCACTAATGCCCCCTACTGACTACAAGATGAATAGCTAAATCAAAACAATGGCTATTAAACATGCACATAACTAGTTACACACATTGTACTATTCCACCAACACCTACACTATCAACTCTCTTGCCCTCCAGTTCTATTTACTCCAAGCAGTTAACTTCCAAAGACATATCAATCCTACCATTTATTCTATTCCCAATCAGCAATGCCTCTGGCCTTTCTGTTTGTTTTGTTCTGCAGTGCTAGAGATTGAACCAGGACCTCCTGCATGCTAAAGCAAGCTCTCTATCACTGAGCTATATCCCCAGCCTAGCTGCTGGCCTTTTTTGTTTCTTAATCATTGTGTCTTCCCAATTCCACCAAATTCATAAAACCATCCACCTCAAAAATAGAATAAATGATTCACCATCAATTTAGCTTAATTCTTAACTAATTAATTCCTAACTATTGCAAGTGTGATGGGGGAACCAGCAACATCTATAGCACCTGAAGCTCACTAAAAAGATGGAGAATCTGAGGACCCATCCCAGACCTACTGAATTGGAATCTGTAGAATCTGGATTTTAACAAGAGTTGCATTTACATTAAAGTTTGACAAGCACTGATTCTCAACTAATAGACCTAACATCACTATTTTAGGACAAATATTTGGTAACACTCTTGATATCCTGTAATAAAATCCCATCATCCACTAACAAACAAAAGCTCAAAAGAAGATATCAGCATACTTATTTGATGGTAATATAAAGATGACAAAAGGAATGATTTATCAGAATTCTATTTCAGTGTAAAAATACAACTAAAGACTTAAACTCTTGAGTTTCCAAATTGTACCTTAAGGGGCAGGTACCATTCAGTTGAGAACATGGGTCTATAATCACTCCCACTCTTTTCCTTCCATCTCACAGAAAGGAGTCTCTTGCCCCTTTTTGAAGTTGAGGGATTCTCTTTTTAAAAACTTCCTTCTCTACATTCCTCCCAAGACCATAAACACTGCCAAACCTCGGATGCTATTACAACCACAAAACCACTCGAGAATCTTTTTATTATTATTATTATTTTAGTTGTAGTTGGACACAATATCTTTATTTTTATGTGGTGCTAAGGATCGAACCTAGTGTCTCACATGTGTGAGGTGGGTGCTCTACCACTGAGCTACAGCCCCAGCCCCCCACTCTAGAATTTTGATCCAATATTTCCTTCTAATTAGTTCTTTCCTTCCTTTAACAGTAAACTCTGTCCTTTTATTTATGAGTCACCTACCCATGCTAATATTTTACTTCCATCAGTAAATGTACATGTATAAGGTTCATGAAAGCTTTCCCAAGAGCCCAAATCAATGAGCATGTATCCAAACTCAAATCTAACTTATCTCTCTGAAATGGTCATCGTTGGTTGTGCATCCAGTCTCCATTCCACCTCTTCCTTCCCCAAAGAACCCTACTGTGTTCATGAATTCATTCCTTTTCCATTAAGGTAAAGTGATCCTGTACAGTCTAAGCCAATCAGAGCATGGCATTCTTCTGGCAACTACTATTGGATTAGGTACCTGACCTAAATTCATCCAATCACACCTGGAGGAAGCATGGGAGTTTTGTCTTCTCTCTAGTGAATGAGAAAGTGTGTATGTTACTTGCAGTCATCTTGGAAGTATAAGGGAATTCAACATTACCATGGAAGGCCAAGAAGAGACCAGTCCCTGATGACACTGAATCAATGAGCCCTGAGTTACTATTTATTGATTAGGTTTTCCCAGACAAAAGCATAGTCTGTCCTCCTTGAAACCCTCCTCTCTTGGTTTTTCTCCCCCCCCCCCAAACCTTCCATCCCACAGCACTAGGGGTCTAACCCAGGGCTTCTTGCGTAAGCTCTACCATGGAGCTACAGATCTAGTACCCCTTCTCCCTTGATTTTCTAAACATCACTCTTTTATCTACTTCTCAAAAGTTACTACTCCATCCCTGGCCTCCCTTCTTCCTCTGCCTTCTCCTTACATTTTGGTGTCCTCCAAGGTTTGCTGTGATCTTTTCTACTCAAAATACATGCTCACCTGGAATAATTTCAGCTCACTGTACCTTTCTCTTGACACATCAAAAGTGAGCCTCCACCTGGGTATGGTGGCACACACCTGTAATCCCAGCAGTTTGGGAGGCTGAGGCAGGAGGATAACAAGTTCCAGGCCAGCCTCAGCAGCTTAGCAAGACCCTGTCTCAAAATAAAAAAATAAAAGGGTCTGGGAGTATAGTTCAGTGGCTAAGTGTCCCTGGGTTCAATCCCCAGTACAAAAAAATAAGTGAGCTACCAGCTGGAGTACCACTGCTGATATGCCCCAGGTTCATTCACCTGATTAAAATTCCTGTCTTTCAAAACTAAATTAAAATGTCTCCTCTGTGAAGCCTTCCCTGAAGTTCTCCGGGATTCCTTACCTTTTTTTTTTTTTTTTTTTTTACAAGGAACTCTTCTCAAAATAATGCTTCTAATTGCATAAAATACTAACTATATTAAAATAATCATATTTTAAGACTCAAACTCCTGATACAGTAATATGTGCTTGTTTACTAGCCTGTTAAAGATCTAGATTTTTAACTAATTTTGATATAGTGATAAGCACAAATGGTATTTTGAGAGCTGCAACAACTGTAACATAAGAAAATGTCTGTGACTTGCACAGGTACTGTGACTTCTATTGATGACAGGTACCTGCAGTGGTTTATTGCTATAGGAGCTTGTTTAATCAATGGTCCCCAATCAACCAGCCCTCTCCATGTCCATGCCCTTGTGTAGTCCTGTACCATATCAACTCTGGACATGGCTTGACAACAGCAAATGTGATGCAGATAAGTGTTTGTGTATTAGGACCTGCCCTCCTAAAGCCTCATGAGAAAGCCCATAGGAGGCACAAGGAGGGGCACAAAGCCTCAGTACGGGGGGAAGGCCACCTTTCAGTTAAGCTACTAGCAGAACTGCCCAGCCAAACCACAGATTCTAAGAATTAGTAAATCATGTTAAGGCACTGGTTTGCAGTGGTTCATTATCCAACAACAGATAACTAAAATGAATAGCCATATTCATAACTGAAGGAAATGCTCATTACCGATGGAGACTGGTAAAAATAAAAATTTTTCCCTCTAACAGTTTAGGGAACCCATGAGCTCTAGCTACAGACCATTTGAGGAGTTGAGGACCCAAGGTTAAGAACCCCCAGTTAGGGCAAATAGATCCAACTCTCCTTTTTACTACCATACTTACATTGTTGATACCAACACAGTTTAGCTGATTATAGCATACCCATCATCCTTGTAATTCTGTAACACAGCCGAGTTCCCAGTATCTACCAGGTGTTTAACACAATTTATAAAATGAATGCAAGTTGATTATGGGATCTGTATTCCTGACCCAACTGAGCTGCCTAAAACAAGTAAAAGCAAATACTCAGATGGCAATTCTATGTGTTAAGGCCTTTTCCATGTGCTTTCCACATACCAACTTACTCCTTCTAACAACCCTATGAGTTGTAAGCTATTACCCTAATTTCACCAACAGGAAAACTTGGAAAGTAGAATCCATGCTCTGATTTTATAGCCATTACTAGAATGTGTCCACAGCACACTACAGCTCAATGAAACTTTTAAATGAGTAGCACAATTTCCCGACTTCATTAGCACTATTTTATGGATACTGTTTCTTGAAGACTCAATTCTGTAGATAAGTTTCCGTCAGCATGGGATTTGTTTTTTATACTGAAAATATGCTTTTTTTTAAAAAAAAGATGATAGAATAGGGACTTTATGCTAAAAGGTAGGTTTTTCGAAATAACCTTCACTGTATGAGTAGATTTCTTTCAAAGCACACGAGTTCAAAGAAAACGTAAGGGGATCGACTTGCTGAAGAGTTGAGCAAAGCTCCAGCTTCCCTCCACGTGCATCCGTTTCATGCCAGCCTCCCCCACAACCTCGAGCAGCTTTTCCGAAGGTGACCCTCCCCCACCCACATTCCAGGTTCTGAAACCTGACTCTTCCAAGCAACCAAAGCCACGAACCCTGCAGTGTCCTGAACTGGCCTCACCTACCCACGATCCCAAGAGTGCACCGGGAAGGTGGGTAGTTTGGGGGAAGCCACGACTTTTCAAAGTGTTTTATTCACGAGTATGACCCAAAGGGCCAACCCCACCCACCCCGGGGTCTCACGCCTCCACCCGGCAGCCGCACGCTGCCCAAGAAGACCGGTGAATGAACCACGGGGCCGGGACGCAGCCGGCTCGGAGGCGGGAAAAGCCCAGGGGTGAGACGGGCCTGGTCCCCGGAGAGGCCCCACGACAACGTGGGGAGGTCTCCGGGCGGCCGGGAGGGGGCGATGACAACTGTGACCCGGCTCCAAGCTCTCACCTTGAACATGTCGCTGGCAGCGGCGGCTCCGGCAGGGTCACCCCGGCCTCGGCCCCGCCCACTACAGAAAGGCAACTACGGAGGCCCGTTAGGGCCCAGATTCCTACACCGCACACGGACTGCCCCACGGTTGACAGCGGTACAACCACCTTGATCCGCGAAGGCTTAGTTCAACCACCCTTGGCTAAAAGCAGCCTTGTTGAGCTGCAGCGCGTCGCGCCTGGGGCAATGGACAAGTGCAAGTCCCGCCCTCCTGGAGTCTCCGCCTCTGCGCTAGCTGTTGCTAGGCGGCAGTGTGGGCTGCACGCGGGGGCATGAGGAGGGAGGCGCTGGGAATTTGCCTTCGCGGCCACGATTGGGCGCTCCACCGTGTAGGTTAGGAATCCTGTACGCAGAGGCGGCCGGCTGAGGGCGCTCGGCGGACCTCGAGAAGCTTCGAAAGCCTTCCAGCCGGAAGTCGTTGATCAGGGCCTGGATTTACCTCACAAAAGGTTGTTTTTTATTTTTACCGTGGGCTGGACATTTCTCAGGGTTTAAATTTAAACTTATTTGCCACGTCCTTTAGTCGCGAAAGGTTCTAACATTCTTTATTCTCTTTAAGATATTTACGTGGAAGTTCCTCCCTGGGACTCAAATATTTGTCCCTTAATACTTGTAGAAGTAAGTAATAATGGGAATAATTATTAACAAGAATATCAAGCACTAATACAGCACTATGTGCGCAGCTCTGATCAAAGCTTGTTACACATACTCATTTAACCCAAGTAGGTGGGCACAATTACCATTCCCAATCTATAGATGAAGAAGCTGAGGCACAGTGAAGTCATTTATTGATTCAAATCCACAAAGATAGAGAATGCGAAACCAGGGTCCAAACCCAGGTAGTGTGCCTTTGAAACCTGTACTCAGACTAAACAACTTTTATACTCTCTAAATAATAAGGGAATGTTTCATTCTGTATTTCCATTCTAATCAGATAGAAAATGGAAGTCCCATCCATATGGACATCTGAAAGATTTTGGGATTTGGGCAGTGTCATGTCACTGCCTACCAGCCAAAGGCTACTAGGAAACAACTGTATTTGAAGAAGTTGAGGTTTCTCATTGCTGCTAGAAAAACACACATCTGGGGGAAGGTGGCGCATTTCAGTAAGAAGGTGTTAGAAACATTTTAGGATTTGGGCTTTGGTTGGGTGATTTGGGGGCAAGTTCAAGAAAGCAGAGCTTTGCTTTGCATTAGGCTCTGTTGGGAAGTGGGGGTAACAGCGAGGCCCAGCTATGGGTGCTAGGCTAACTCCCAGATGTTAGGACTGCTTTTCTCAAGAATATTGTATATTCTAATAATCATCCCCATCCCTAAGAAGAAATATTGAATGGATTCTGAAGGCTCTGCATCAATAATGTAACATTATACATAAAAGTATGAAGCATAGTGATAAATTAGAGCAGGTGTTCTAAATTCAAGGGATATGTGAACTTGGGGGAAAATGACAATTTCATTTTTACTAACCTCTAACTGAACTTTAGCATTTCTTTCAATTGTAGTGTAGGCAACAACCCACAGTAGTATTAACAGTACCTCTGACTTTGTCATCAGTAGAAAGCACAGATATTTTCATACCATGTTGCAATCATGGCAGACAGCTCAAAATATCATTTATGCTCATTAATACTTCAAAAGTACAATAGCTATTAGATTTCTTATTTAATGTATAAAGAAGACACAAACATTACTATAATTTTTGCTTTTAAAATGTTTCCATGATGTGACTAAGAATTTGGGAGCTGCATCCAAATTGGAGTAATGCTTCAAAAACTAAAAAAGTTAGAGGCAGAATCAGGTAATTTAGTATACACCCTCTTGCTTTACCAATGAGGGAGTTGAACATGAAGAAGTTACATGATTTGCCTAAAGTCTTATGGCTATTTGCTAAATGTAGGATGAAAAGTTTTCAGGCAAATTTATAAAACCTCTTCACTCTGCTAGGCACCAGTTATCAAAGTGCCTCCTTCTGGGTGCAGTTGTCATACCTGTAATCCTGGCCACTCAGAAGGCTGAGGCAGGAGGATCACAAGTTCAAAACCAGCCTTAGCAAATTAGCAAGGGCCTAAGCAACTTATCGAGATCCTATCTCTAAATAAAAAATAAAAAGGGCTAGGGATGTGGCTTAGCGGTTAAGTGCCTCTGGGTTCAATCCCTGGTTAAAAAAAAAAAAAAAAGTGCCTCCTGCCCTCAACAGGATTTCTGGGTGATAATAGGAGAGTGATAAGACTGGATTATTGCTCTAAAAAGTTAACTCTAGCTGTAGTGTAAAGAATGAACACAAGGAGAAAGAGACTAGAGACAAAGACCAGTTAGAAGACTGTGGGGAGAGCCATTTGTCTTTCCCACATACCAAATAATATTTTTAGTACACAAAGAATGTAAATCATAAGCAACATTAAGAGATCCATGATGCCTTCCTTTTTAAAGAATTCTCTAATTAGCACAACAATCTTAACATGAGTCAAGTCCAAGGAGTATAATAATATGGATTATGACCTCGAAAGCTTAATTTAGCCTTTAGTCCCAACTGCTAAATAGGCTGAGGCAGGAGGATTGCAAGTTCAAGGCCAGCCTGGGTGACTTAGCTAGACCCTGTCACAAAATTTTTAAAAGTTTACAAGGGCTGAGGATGTAGCTCAGTGGTAAAATGCCACTAGGTTCAATTCCAGTCCCAAAAATAAATTAAAAAGGCTTAATTTATGTAATTTCAGATTACTTCATCATAAGGAAAATGAGTCATTCTTCAAGTGCAGCAGACACCCGTATTCCAAAATCAGATGATCAACAGCCAAGAAAAGGCCATAAAGCACATTTTCTAAATGTTGCAAAGGCAAAACGACTGTAAGTACCCATCTTTTGCCTTGTGTCATTCTTCACAAATGGACAGTTTCCAAACTTATCCATATTTACCCAGATAACTTCAAACACTTCTTGTGTAAATTAAAGTTTTTCAAAAAAGTTTTTTAGTTGTTGAATGACCTTTATTTTATTTATTTCTGTGTGGCGCAGATTATCAAACTTGGTGCCTCACACAAGGGCTCTACCACTGTGCTACAACCCCAGCCCAAGTTTCTCATGTTTTAAGATTATTGTCAAGTTGAATGACCACTATAATTATATATTTTATAATTTACAAAGCAGGTTAACACACATCTATTTGATCCTGATACAACCTTATGAAACAGTTTTATTATTATATATTTTTAATATTTTGGGTTTTAGTTGAAGTTGTACACAATATCTTTATTTTATTTTTATGAAGTGCTGAGGATGGAACCCCGTGCCCCGCATGTGCTAGGCCAGTGCTCTACTGCTGAGCCACAACCCCAGCCCCTTATTATTATATTTTATAAATGAGGAAGAAACAACTAGTAGAAGATAAGTGACTTGCAGAAAGTTAAACTAATAAATGGTATCAACTAGTATTCAAAGGTTTGTTTCCATACTTCAGGTCGTCTCTGCATCTTGTATTCTGCATTTTGCCAGTCAATGGTGACATTAAACAGTCTAATTAGAAGGCTATGGGTAAATTCACTTGTCTTTCCAACACACCACATATTCCAGTACACAAAGAATGTAAACTATAAGCAGCCTTAAGAGTCTCTCTTTGAGTCTGGGTTTGTTGCTCAGTGGTAAAGCGCTCGCCTCACACATGGGAGACCCTGAATTTAATCCTCAGCACCACATAAAAATAAATAAATAAAATAAAGGTATTGTGTCCAACTACAAGTAAAAAATAAATATTAAAAAAGAGTCCCTCTCTGCACATGGCTCTATTATGGATAATGATGGGGTGGGAGGATATTATATAGGAAGACCCTCACAATCGGCCACTGCTGGGATATGATTAATAGAGAATAGTTGTCTGACTTGACTAGGATTAGCCTAGTTGGTTCAAGCAAATATTGGAGAACGGAGTTTCTTTTTCTAGAGAGTAGTTATCAGCTCCCAGAAGAGACATGGGCCTCCTGTAACTTCAGCTAGTCCACATTCCATTTTCATTCCACCTGAACCAGTTGGACAGTTTTAAAGAACTGTAACCAAATCATGTTAGGAAGCAAGCTTATCTCTTCACAATTCTTATTTATTATATGCCTCTTTTTGGGGTGTTTGGGATCAAACTCAGGGCCTTACACATAGTAGATAAGTGCTATATCACTGAACTACACCCCCAGCCCTATGTATTATATGTGTCTTAATGATAAATTTATGATATATTTGCCTAAAATGATAAGGTTTTTACCAGGACTTTTCTTTTTAATCTCAAGGGAGATATTCTCAAGTATGCATGTCTTCATTCTGACTAGATTCTACAAATTACCAGTTCCATTTCTTGTGTCCAAATGTCCCTCATTAAGTCGTTCTTAGCATGGAAGATTAAGAGATATAGGAGAAATAAACATAAATTGAGAGTTTTCCAAGACTTTACAAAAATTAAACTTATGTCATATATATTAACCTCTTTTTTCTTCGCATAATTGATAGAGAAATTTCAGCTCGGAAAATACAGAAATCTTGGTTCACTTATATGGACAAAGTAATATTTCAACTCCTAAAACATACAGTTTGTGCAGCGGTATGTATTTTTTTTCTTTGACAGAATTACCCAGCTAAAATATCTGTTAACTAAAGATAGAATAAATAATCTTCTTTATCGCTTTCATTTTGATCTAATAACATTGCATAGGGTCCTGAAATTGCTTCTTTTGTTAGCTACAAATGAATATTTCTGGATTTAATTTTAATATGGATGACTATTATTTCTTTTTCTGAAGTAAAAATACTGTCTTTTTAAAAAATTTTATTCCTTATTTGAAAACATGAGACAAAATATTTCCAACAATTAAAAAATCTCTGAATTAAGCATGCACAAGGCTGAGTTCAATCCCCAACGCTGTTAAAAAAACTAATTTTTTAAATGCTGAATTAGGGGGCTGAGGGTATGACTAAGTGGTAGAGCCCATGCATAGCATGTGGGGGACCCTAGTTTCAATCCCTAGCACCAAAGCAAACCAAACCAAACCAAACTCTGAACTAAAAATGCCCTTACCTTTCATGCAGGAATTTTGTTTCTTTTTTTTAAATTTTTTTATTTGCTCAAATTAGTTATACATGACAGTAGAATGCATTTTCACACATCATACATAAATGGACAGTAACTTTTTATTTTTCTGATTGTACATGATGTAGGATTACAGCAGTTATGTAATCATATATATACATAGGACAATAATGTACAATTCTAGTATCCTTCCTACCCCCTTACCCCCTCCCCTCCTTCATTCCCCTCTGCCTAATCTAAAGTACCTCTGTTATTCCCTAGCTGCCCCCATTGTGAATTAGCATCCACATACCAGAGAAAACATTCATCCTTTTGTTCTTTGGGAGTGGCTTATTTCACTTAGCATGATATTCTCCAGCTCCATCCATTTACTGGCAAATGCCATAATTTCATTCTTCTTTAAGGCTGAGTAATATTCCATTGTGTATATATACCACAGTTTCTTTATCGATTCATATTTTGAAGGGTACCTAGGTAGGTTCCATGGTTTAGCTATTGTGAATTGAGCTGTTATAAACAT